CTCCTAAATCACTCGTACGCACAACTTAAGAACAAATCTGTGCGTACGAACGGTTCTTGCATGAGGCCCAATGTTTGGTTCATGTTCTGCCCTGGCTTCCTTGGGTTTCTGCTTGCTTGTTACTCTTCTTGTTTTTGCCACCATGCTGGCCTTTTGTTTAATATAGTTTTGTTTTATTTTAAGTCTGCCTGTCTGCATTTGGGTCCATTCTGCCACTAAAACCCAGTCAGAAAAATTGGTTGGAAAAGTGTCATTGTTTTTAAATTTCAAAATGTTCGCATACAATGTCGGCTCCATGCTCAGAAACAGTCTCTTCTGTGTCCTTGCGTCCACTGGAATGAAGATTGTATTTCTTGTGAGCTTAAAACAACATAGTGGAGTATTTGACGCTTCGACTGATGCTTGTTCCTGATTGGTTGCTAACCAAAACAATTACAAATGCTAGATCTGAGTATAAGGCATCATAAAAGAAGGGCATGGGTAAAACAAGCAAACAGAAGAAGCATTTCTGTTTTCCTTTTATTAATGTTCACATTAGCTTAGAAAATGGCACTCAAGTATAATCACTCTAATTTTACGTACTTCTAGTGACAGTATTTGATGTCATTTCTATTTAAATTAATATTTTGAGCAGAAACAGTTTATTTGGAGCATGATATGGGCCAGAATCACTTTTTGGCAATAAAAAAATGCCTATTATGATAATTTTTTGCTATTTTTTAAGCGTGACACTGAATACGTTAAACTCTTTCTTTGTAATATAATCCCTTTTAGTGTAATTTAAGATAGAAATGGCTTTTCATTGGGCTTGATATGGATCAGAATCACTTTTTGGCAAAAACAAAATAAACAATAATAATAATATAATAAAACACCTATTTTGGCCATTTTTTGAAGTGTGACATTGAATTTATTCAACCACATCTATGTCATATCAATATATATAATATGATATAATCTCCTTGAGTAAAAATTGCACTACAATGTTGCCTGATATTCCAAAGTATAAAATTGTGAAAATCTTTTTTTAAATCATTTATCATTTGTTACATCCATCACATAAAAGTGATGACACAGTTGTTAGAAATCTAAGCAAACCTTTTGCTGATAACCCGTGAAAAGAACCATTTTAATGCAATATTTTATGAATTTAAATGGACAGATCCTACTGATAAACGATAAAACACGTGACTGACTCTGACGGGGGGAAACATCCCAAGTTTTAGGCAGACAAAGGGGTAAACGAGACGAACCTTTGCTGTAATCTTGGGCATTAAACTATATTTGTTATTGGTCTTAACATAATGTGTCTAAACGAACTAAATGACCGAGAGAAATACACTCGAGCAGCCTGCGCGCAGTCCCGCGGCGCGCAGTCCCGCGGCGCGCAGTCCCGCGGCGCGCAGTCCCGCGGCGCGCAGTCCCGCGGCGCGCAGTCCCGCGGCGCGCAGTCCCGCGGCGGACTCGCGCAGCCCCGCGGCGGACGGCGCGCAGTCCCGCGGCGCGCTCCTTCGATCAGTTTTTGGCACAAAACGACCCCGACTTCCCGGAGCGAATATCCACCCTATAACCAAATACACTAACAGAGTTCATAATTATTATGTTAGCGAGCTAAGCTATTAGCACAGAGATTTACACGGGTTCCTCCAAATAACACTACATCAATAGCTATGAGAAAACGGCTCCTAAAAGGTGACACGAGCACATTAATWAGATGGAATAAAAACCTACAGACCTACTATATGCAGCTGATCACTGAGGCTGCAAACAGCATCCTGAGCTGCAGAGTTCCCCAAATCCTCCGACTTTTCTTCTTCCTCTCCATCCAGGCCCTGCTTGAGCTGCTGTCTCCACATCTCTGTTAGCTCATCAACATTTACCGAGATTGTACAGCTTATACACAGTATAACTCCGAATTACACTCATCCGACCAGCAGTCGACAGAGAAAGGAGTTGGCTCTTTGCTACAAAACAAAGCATTGAACGAAAGTGAACAGCTTCCAGTGCACGGAGACTGGTCAGAGGCTGGCCTTCACAATAAGAGCTCCAACTGCAAAACACGTTATCTGCGTTCCGATGGCAATCTGGAAATATTTCATGCAATTTAGTCTCATCTAATCCAGTGTAACAAGGGTCAGTATTTAATTAATGCCAGTAAATTCAGCCTCTTTGAATTTACATAAAAAAATTAGATTTACTTTCTATACCAGTGGGCTCTCTCTCTCTCTCTCTCTCTCTCTCTCTCTCTCTCTCTCTCTCTC